CTTACCAACTCCCAAAACTGCTCTGGATATAAGTGGGCTTAGACATGTCTGGGGCGTAGACCCCTAAAACAAACAACTTCTTTAAGCCCACTTTCATTCATATCCATAGCAGTCTCTGGCTTACACATTCATACTCTTTCACACAATGACCCATTCTTTCTGAAAGAATGATACCGACTCCCTGGCATACCCGCTTGGTCTCGTCTACACCAGACCAGTACGCGGTATACATGCCATGTGTAGTGGCATCCTTTCCCGTCCGTTTCGTCTCATTTACACATAACACGTCTATTCCTCTATCATGCATCATATCGCATACTTCATCCATCTTATCATTCATTCCTCCACATACATTCAATGTAGCTAGACGGGCTTCCGCAATCTACTGTTAATGAAATGTTGTAAATGTTAAAAATAAAAATGTAAAACAAAAATATTATTTTTTTAATTAATGGGCTAAAATACAAATATACTTAACATTGTTGACAGATAATTAATGTAACTACACTTAATTTTGAGGTTGCCACAGGTATTTGGCATTGGACTTTACTGAATCCACCAATTTGGATCCTTTAGTGGTATTCAGAAAAGATTTAAAATTTAAACAATTTTCCTCAAAGTTCATTCTAATTAGTAACCCAGCTTTTATTAAATCAATAGCCATACGATTTCTCTCTTTAGTATATAAATTATTTAGTAAACTTAATACCCTTTCACAATAAGCATTGCTTACAAGAATTGACAACATAAATGATATAATTTTTTTTTAAATTTCATAATTTCGTTTTGGTTGCATTTCAATTTTAAATTATTAACATTTCGAGGAGCTGTTTGTCTGGAGATTTTGAGTTTTGTCGGGAGTCGGGAGATCATTTAAAATGTCGGGAGAATCCAGACGAATCCCGACCATCTGGCAACCCTAACGTTGGGGTAAGATCGGTGATGGGGCAAGACCGTAGGATTCAAATTCCCGGCGAATTATGCTATATTTTGAAAAGCTAACAATATGTTACGCGACGCCATTTCATCCTGCCCCGACCCTCAGTTCGCGCCAGTCACTCCGGCAAGTGGGACCTGTGCTGCGTGGCATTTTATAAAACAATGTAATTTTTGTATTATTTTTGTCCATCCGATCTTTCCCTATCACTTTTATTTACGATTTTTAGCGAGAATATGGCTTCTTTTGTTATTATTTTGTGTGGATACTAATTTTTATGAAGTTATAGCTAAATGAAGCTGGTCCATGCAGGGCTAAGATCGCTGTAGGCCGAGATCCGATGTTTCCCCTCGTGAGTGAAGATCGGATGAATATTATCCGATCTTTGCCTGTTACAAATATGGCAGTGGTTGTTAAACTTTCATTGGTCGTGTATATTTTTTCGTTGATTACTCAAGTGACTATAATACTCAGTCTCGTTAGCAAGTCTGTATATTTAAAAGTAATAAAACAATACGATGGTTTTATTACTTTTAAGTACACATTAAAATACATTTTTTTTATAGGATAAGGGTGACAAAGGAGCACACAGTCCACCTGATGTTAAGTGATTACTGCGGCCCATAGACATCTATATCTATCCTCTATTACAAATCAAAATGTAATTTATAATAATTATTTAAAAAATAATTTATAATAATAAATGCCGCTTTGTTAAAATATTTATATCTTCCTTAACTCCTGCATTATCCCAGGGCATTTCGCCAGTCCTTACTGTTATTTTTTTTCCCATATAAAATCAAATGCATCCGATCTTTCTCTTATATTGAGTAATTCCATCTTATGTCATAACAAAGTTTGAGAAACATAAAATTACAATTTCTTTATATCAGGGATAAGATCGGATGGCATAAAAAAAAAAAAAAGGGAAAATCGTTTGGAACATTTATGTTTCTAGTAATTTATAGATCATATTGAAATACGTTTTTGAGCGTTAAATATAGGACAAATCTCTTTTATAAACTTTTTTCTCTAAGCAGTAGAAGTGGTTTTAAATTTAAGTCCGGTCTTACCCCTTAATGGCCAATTTTTCATTATGCATATAAAAAAGTATGTCTAGTTTTCGCACACCTTTAAAGCAGAAACCGTTGAGTTTACACAAGCAAAAGATTCTCAGAGCTAAACTACGTTTAACGATTAACGGTTTGCTCCAGGTTCCATAAATCTGACTTATACGAATGTCGAGAAATTAAAGTTTTTGGCAGACTCTTCTAACTATTTGAAAATCCGTCCGGTATTACCCCAACGTACCTTAAGGTATAATTTTATACTAATTAATTTATGAAAAAAAAAAACATGGCTGTAATAGAAAAATATTGCATATATACATATATACAAAATATTAAAACTAAAATTTGCATTTGTTTGCCGTAAACGCCTCCTGGATATGCTTTATCTATACCCATCAATTACGAATTTCAAGGTTTATCACATTAGATATTTAACTTTTAACAGCGAATAAGTCAATAAGCATAGCATCGTAGGAAACCTACGTGCTTATTAATAGAAACTAAAACAGTAGAGCGATAAATATAATATATGTTACATTTCTTCTGATCCAAGTATTTTTTTATAGGATAGGGTGACAAACGAGCACAAAGTCCACCTGATGGTAAGTGGTTGCTGTGGCCCATAGACATCTACATTTATCCTCAACAAAGAATCAAAATGCAGATGCGTCGTGACCGTGAGGACTAAGACGGAATGCTTCTTTTCCAGTAAAATGGGTCTCCGGTTCTCTACACTCACCATGCGAAATACAGCAGTGTCAAGCTGCTATTTTGCGCTGGTATTCTGTGAGAGCGTGGTCCTTCCCCGGTCGAGCGGACCCATTCGTGCTACAACTATAGTACTAATATAGCTGCAGCATGGATCTACCACGTATAAAACGTTCACGTTTGTGATTACATCCGTAAAATTAAAAGATTTAAAATTACGGATCGTAATTATGAGGGCTTATAAATAAATGTATAAAATAAATACATTTAATTGTGTGTGAAACGGTAGTGCCAGTTGATTCCGGTTTGTCGAAGATAATGCGGCGGTCAAGTCTGATGGCAATTAATGTTACTGAAAGTACTTTTAAACTCAACGAACGCCGTTTAAAATAATACACAATGAAATAAACAATAATGCTTTATTATTATGAAAATAAATTTGTCTTTCACGTACCTATTACAGTAAAGGATAATACTTAAATAAAAATGCTAAACAATTATTGTGTTAGGAGTGAGTTATTCACAATTTGGTGTAACCCACAAAAAGTATTTTATAAGCTGGACCATAAAGGTTGTAAATAGTGATGCGCATTGAGCAGATGCCAGGTAAACCGCGGGTGCAGATTAGCCGGCTCCCTGTGCCATTCACTTTCACCAATAGGTACCACGTATAAAATGATAAAAAAAAAATTAATAAATATATAAAACGTTATCTATTTGATCATTAAATGTCATAAAACTATTGTAGAATCTCGTTCTTGTGCAAATTCTGTTTTCACTTTCCCCTTTCGCGTAAGGTACACCGCAACCCTCATGGTCAAGCAATACTACAATGGTTTTTTAAGCTAAAAGAAAGTTTATCACTTTCATTCTCTAATGCTGATTTACCTACTCTAGTGTCTATCATTCTTATTCTGACATGGTTATCTGTAGGTTTAAAATAACTTAAATATTATTAAGTAAAGTAGCAACCAACATAACTAACCAGACATGCAGGTTTCCTCACGCTCACGATCACTATATTTCTTTTACCGTTGATGGAAGAAAAACATACAAGTCTTTGGAAAAAACTACACCTTCGATTTGATTTGTTAGTTATTTACGTAGTATTGTCTCTTTATATTCTTATATTTAAAAAAATGTTTTATTTTCCAAGTCCAATACAATTCAAATAAGAATAGGGACGTCAATGAACTCGAATGACCGCGATCTGTTAACTGTCACTTGAAAAGTACGGCATGTAAAGAAAATTAATTTTCCACTTTTATATTTATTTAAGTGAGTTTTTGTATTACAAAATCTATTAAAGTCATAATTACTTTCAATAATAACTGTTTTTATTTTCATTGTTGACAACATTTTGCCAAAAAGTAAATTAATAAATTAAATTATATTTATAAATAATTTATTATTGTAATTAATGCAGTTTTCTTTATAGATAAATAATTAATTTAAAAAAAACTTCTTAAATTATTGAAGTACTAGATTCTGATTAAAACTTTTTCTTGCGTGTTTCTTTTGTTTTTATTTGTAAATAAATACTATTTTAAAATATCTTTTTTGCTCACCTTACCTAAAGGCCTAAAGGTTTAAATTTACAACTATGATGACACAATATGGCGCTAGGTCAGTCATATTCTCATTTGGATCGCATAGATAGAGATAGGTGCATTCACTGAGAATTTTTTTTCTGAGTCTGAGCAGTACGCGATCACCCAGGTACTGCAACCTGCTTTAACTAATATGCATTGAGTTATATGTACTACGTACTAGAGAAGCCATTCCAAACAAAAATTGTGTATTAAAATTTTAATAAGATATTAATACGAAATTAAAATAAGATATTAATGTAAAATTAATATAAGGATTTAATATAAAATATCTTAATTTAATCTAAACAAACATATTTCTAAATGAAATGTTATAATAATTATTTTATGGAATTCACAAATCTTCAATTTACGCAAAATTTAGTTAGTATGGATTGCACTACAGTTCAGTTGAACATAGTCAATTTTCGGAATGGCTTCTCTAATACGTAGTACATATAAGCATATAACTCAATGCTAATATGATATATTTTTTATATTACTACGGCTTAAAATATCTCACGACATAATTTTGACTAAATACAAATAGATATTTTAAAAGGTAAAAGAAGCCTTCGCTATGAATTTTACTACGATTAATTAATATTATGATACTGGCTCAAAGATTTTAAACGAAAGTGTTAAATTACTGATATTAATAAAATATACTTATAATAATAATTAAAAAAATGGTTTAATAAAATGTTTTATTATGTTGTTAAAACATTAACTATTGTCTAATAATATCTACTACTATCACATAAATTATTTTATGCTAAACTTATTTGACTAAAACTAAGCGTTAATATAATACTTAATGACATCTACTATAAAAAAATGCTGCATTTTTAATAATCTAAAAACAATTAGACAGTAATACAACTACATTATATTTATTTACTATACCTACGTTTTATGCTTTGGTATTTTAAATCTTTAGTTTTGAACTATTACCAAGTAAGTAAACTATACAAATTAAAGATTCCCAAGACTCCTCCAGAGCTTCAGACTAAATAAAAATGTGTACAGTTGGGCTGTTCAAGCCTAGGCCCCAAAACTAAATGGAGAAGAGAGGTAATGTGTTGGTACACAAATGACGTACGTAGCGGACTGCTTAAGTTGACATATAAGATACATCCCTTTTCTCCACTTTGGTGCAAGCCCAACATACCACTGCACTGGTGCATTATTCACTAAATTGATTTAACAGAGTTAATTTATACATAATCCATAATTCCACGTTAAATGTGGATTTATTGTACACACGCTTAGACTATATTAAAGGATGTGACACCCAGTTTCTATAATTTTGTCGTGTCGTCTCTGGCCTCTTGTACTTTATTATGGCACCGAAGATTATGGTAAAATTAAATAATGAATATTGAATACTAACAATCTAGAATACTCCATCCATACTAATAATCCATTTTTGAGTTTGTGTAGTCAATCGAACTTATGCATATAAGGACTTTTCTTCGAGTGTGTTTTATTTTCCCACATATAAATTTTTTCACCTTTCTGAATCACGATTCGTTCATAACTTATGAACTTAGAAATCATTTAAAATAATTTAATTGATTTCTAAGTGACGTTTTAGTACCAAAACAGCAATTCCATTAGCTAAAATAAATCTTACTTTAAACTGGGCTTATTTGCTTAAATAAAGAAGTTAAGAATAAAATGTGAGAACTGAAGTATGGTTTCCACGCACGAAGAGCATAGGAGGCAGATCGCGACTCATCATCTCTAGCCATGCCATGTACAATGGTGCCGAAATTGAACCCTGAAAATAAATAAAACATTGTTATGATGAAATATATATGCAATGAAAATGAAATGATGGATTAATTTCGCTTAATACACAAAATGGCGTAGCAAGAAATCTGCCGCCCATGGCCCATGGCTCCCTTAGTCTCCACCTGCTGCTACACCACTGTTCCAAGCCTATCCGAGGGTTTCTTCAATTGTCCATAGGTGTCATCAGTCCGAGCTGCAACATTCATTCAATATTCTTCGTGACTGTCCATCGGTTGACAGCTACAGAGATAAGTATGTAAAGAGGCCGCCCGCCAGGGTCATTTGTAAAATTAAAAACTTGAAAAAGATTTTTCGAGGAGATCGGATGGTCCGAAAAATATGTATAATTCCTGCTTAATAAAATACGCTAAGTGCGTATTTTATTAAGCAGGAATGACGTGGAGTTTCGGATACCAGCCAAAAAAATCACTGCGACTTATTGAATCTGTGGCAGCACTGTCGTCGCGCCACAAGCGAAACATATCGAATCCTAAATCGCACTAACAAAGTTCCGAAGTTCAAGTAGCATATATAGAATAGCTCCGAACTCCCAATCGCCCTCTCTGAAAACTTTTTCAAAGTCTCAGAGTCGCATAATAACACATTAATTCATGAGGCAGCTAGTTATGCAGCCCCACTCCCCTCCCGCTATCGCGTCCGCAGGCCGAGAAACTCTCTCTCGGATCCGCCAAACAAACTGTCAAACGACTTGAACTGCCTCCTGGCGGCTCAGTCAAATTCATAATTAATGTTTCATAATTAATTTTTATTCATAATTAAAATGCCTTCGTAGGCACTCCCTCAGCGACTTATAGCCGCCTGCGCCCTCTTTTCCCAAAAGAGGGTCGCTTTACGACACGGCATGTGAAGCTTTAAACAGCTGGTTGTCAGTCCCCAAAGGCGGTTTTTAGGGGGTATCACTTAGGCTCCCCGGTTAGGCGTGAGTCCCCCATAGCCACGATGGATAGCCTATCGTGGTATGCGTAATGCATTTTCCGCCTCCCTACGTAAAGGGTAGCCCATTTTCCAATTGCTTCGGGCGCAAAAAAAAAAAAAACTACCAATCGGAGCGTTGGCCGCTCCCCGGGCAGAACACTTTGGCCGGCGGGAGATCTCGCCCTTTTCCTTCCACCGGCTATAAATCAATGAATCACTCAAGAGTAACATACGAGCATAAAATCAACCTGTAGATATAATTAGATACTGTGACCCATAGACATCTATACCAGAATGCCGATGCCTAATTCCTATATTAAAGAAATGTTTCGAACTACGTAACTATTGGTTTCGTTACATTCAGTGGCGGATTGGCCTTAATACAGACTAGACATGTGTCAAAAAGGGGTGCGCGCTCAAGTTTCATCATCATCATCATTACAGCCACACACATTAATGCCACAATGCACGGTCCTGAGCCACCTGCATCCATTGACTTCCTGCATGTCTTACCAGTTCGTCACTCCATCTAGTGGGTGGTCGCTTTGCACTTCGCCTACCGATACGAGGCTGCAATTCGAGAACCTTTTTTTCCCATAGGTTCTCGGTTCTTCGAGCTATATGGCCGGCTCATTGCCACTTCAGCTTACTAAGTAATCCGTTGGGCTATTACTGTCACTCTATTTCTACTGCGGATATCTTCATTTCTAAGTTTATCATGCAGAGAAACCCCGAGTATAGCCCTCTCCACAGCTCACTGAGCGACCTTGAGCACCCTCATACGGCCAGCAGTGAAGGGCCACGTCTCAGATCCATAAGTCATCACTGGCAACACGCACTGGTTGTACAATCTCGTTTATATACCTACGTATACCTGACAAGAAGATGTGTCGTAATTTTCCGAACGCTGCCCAGCTGAGTTGAATCCGTCGATTGACCTCTCGGTCGAAGTTGGACTTACCTAATCGGACAATTTGTCCCAGGTAAACATATTCATCAACAACTTCGAGCTTAGTGCTCCCAACAACTACCGGCATAGGTGTGTCATGGAAGCCAGAAACGGCCCCACAGGAAGTGGATCTTTTCGAGCCCCGATGGTTCGACAAAAAATGAGATTGATTTCATTATGACGACCAGACGACAACTATTTAATGATGTCTCAGTTGATCGCGAGGGTGAAAACTGGTAGCAATTACCGAATGGTTAGAGGCATACTGAACCTAAAAGTTAAGGCGGAGAGGTCTTGTCTAATGAAGTCAACGCTCCGTTCCCCTCGTGCTCTAATCCAAAGTCCCGAAACCTTTCAGCTCGAGTTATAAAACCGTTTTCAGTGCCTAGAAGACTGCAATGCAGTGGACGATATGAATGACAAGCTCGTGAAAACTGTCCATACGGTCGGAGCTAAGGTCTGCAAGACCCGCCGCAGAAGAACACAAAAACACTCCGATCACACTCTTATTCTCATGGCTGTTATCTCACGGCAACTGCCTGTATGCTGTTAAATCTACTAAAGGCTAAACAGACAGATATCAAAATGCATGCGGCGGGACTTACGCAACTTCAATCAGCTCGTATTAAAGAAACGATCGAGCGGAACCAAGGCTCCAAAGTCTTTGCCAGAAATCTCTTTGCCAGAAAGAGCCAACTGTCAACGCTGAGGACCGAGTGCGGCAGCATCGTTTCCGGGACACCTGAGATTTTGAGTGAGATTGAAAGGTTTTATTGGCAGTTTTACACGTCATCGTTGGAGCCACAAACAAGTGTTAGTAACGATCCAAGAGCAAGCCTTATCCGACACTACTCCGATGATATCGCGGACGTCAGTCTGAGCGAAATTAGAATGGCTCTCAAGCACCTTAAGAACAGCAAGGCCCCGGGTGAGGATGGAATTACAGCTGAGCTTCTGGAAGCAGGTGGAAAACCGGTACTTAAAGTCCTTCAGAAGCTCTTTAATTCCGTCCTTCATGGGGGCACTACTGCGGAGGCGTGGAGTAGAAGTGCAGTGGTCTTGTTCTTCAAGAAAGGCGACAATGCTCTCTTGAAGAACTACAGACCGATTTCCTTTCTGAGCCGCGTCTACGTACTGTTTTCGAGAGTCATTACGAATCGTCTCGCACGCAGACTTACGACTTCCAGCCTCCCGAACAAGCCGGTTTCTGAAAAGGCTTTAGCACCACAGACCAAATACATACCCTTCGGCAAATTGTACAGAAGACCGAAGAGCCACTTTGTCTTGCGTAAGTGGACTATGGGAAAGCCTTTCATTCCGTCGAAATTTGGGCGGTGCTGCAGTCCCTTCAGCGGTGCCAAGTAGACTGTCGGTATATCGAAGTGCTGAAGCGCTTAAGTTTATGAACAAAAAATATCATGTACTTGATTACCCTACATCGGCCTCACTCTCTCATCACATGTTTCGTTCACGCTCACCTGTTAAGGGTACACGTATTCTAATTATTTTGCAACTGAACTGTATTATAAGTTATAATATTATACTTTATTTGCAAAATGAGTATGAGGAGAGATGGTGCCGATGAGGTGTTAGCCTAGGGCGCTGTCGACATACTTAGAATACTTGGAAGTAGAATATAATCCGCCTCAGATTACATACGAGATACATGTGTGGACAATTTTAATCACAAGTTATCCGTTGAGCAACTTAAGATGGCTAAAAGTAAATTAACCTTAAGCGCTTTTTAAGATTTTAAACCAGTATTGGAACGAAGATCTTGATCACAGGCTACGAATTTTGGCGGATGGGGACTGGGCGAAGCCAAAGGAAGCGAGATGGAATAATACCCATCTCCCTCGCACTTTGTCTTATCTTGCCATTAGAGAAATATCATTTTATTTTAAATGACGCTTCATTTTGAGTGTAGAGAGAGAGAGAGAGAGAGAAATAGAGAGAGAAAGGGTCTCCCCCTTTTTACTGGAAACGAGGCAATCCATCTTAGTCCTTAGGGGTGACAACGCATCTGCATTTTGATTCTTAATATAGGATAGATGTAGATGTCTATGGGACACACAGCATTCATTCAGCATTAACATCCGTTGGACTGTGTGCTTGTTTGTCACGTTTATCCTATAAAAAGGGCTCACCTTCCTGGGCATGGGGAGCGACATGACGACGAGCGTGGCGCCGCTCGAGTTGGCCAGCAGCAGCTCGCGCAGCCGCAGCTGCCGGTTCGTCTTGTCCGCCAGCGTGTTCAGCTCCGTCTCGCTTATGCGGCACTCTGCATACACACGTCTCATTAAACATAACTGATAAACGTTTATTGAATTTTTAATGACTCAATGCTTTCTGCCTTTCTGATATTTAAGGGAAGCGAATTCCGTAATATTATTGCTTCAGGGCCGGATTTAAAGCAGGACAACAGGGGGGGGGGGGGTCTAGCACCGGGGCATCCACATGGATGGGCAACTTTTAGCCTGTTAAAATAGCAAAAACAAAACAAACAAACAAACAAAAAAAAGACAAAACGTCTCATTTTTCTTTTATATTTTAGTATTAACTAGTTATAAACTATTAAAAACTGAATTGTTTTTCCGTCTGATACAAAGCTTTTTTAGTGCCTCCACTTTTTGCTTGCCCCAGGGTTTCATCATCATTCACCATCACATTCATCATCACATCTTTAAATCCAGCCCTGTATAGTTTTAAAACAAAAGCAGAATTAAGAAGTTTTGAGTTTGTTCATTTAAGTAATACATACAGCTTTTAAGTAGTATACATGTAAGAAAAATTAAATTAGTTATACATTACCCAAAACAGTTTGTACAGACAGTTTAGTTACACTTAGGCACACAAAATAATGTACACTGAGACAATTTCAAAGAACAAACTTTTCCCTTTCTTCCAATTTAAAAATATTTTACATACCTTCACTGGCATTTTCGTCTATAAACTTCTTTATTATTTCATCGAACAGTTGTTTAGTCTCGGGCTTTGGAGGTTCCGTGATGTCCTGCACCATTGTCAAGCACGAGTAGTCTATCCGAAATTTAGCTAACAAGTTAGCCATACTGAAACACAATAATATTTTAAATCGAAATTGGAAATCTGAAGTGGTAATGTTGTACAGCACGTGGAACTGATAAACATATATAAGAAGAAACGTTAAGTTACTTATTACATGTGAGCCAATGCTTGATTACAAGACCACTATTTTATACCAACGAACTCACAGTCCACCTGATGGTAAGTGACTACTGCACTCCTTAGACTCTTGCAGCCAAATTCACCAAAGTCACCCCCGAGGAATACGATGGAATGCCCTTCAAACCGGAACACAACAGTACAGACTAGACACGACCATTTTGCAGAAATACCACTAGATGGTTAGGGACAACCCTCCACCTCCCATGGCCCCACCAACCTTACGGTTATACGGGCCGAATCTCGAGAGATGCACGCGGTACTTGCTCAGGGCTCTTTCCCGCATGCACTTTCTTGACTCTCTACCACTAGATGGTTAGTGCTGACGCAGATAATAATATTATAATATTCATCATCATCATCATCATCATTACAGCCTTTCATAAGTCCACTGCTGAACATAGGCCTCCCCCAAAGAATGCCACAAAGCACGGTCCTGAGCCACCTGCACCCATCGACTTCCTGCATGTCTTACCAGGTCGTCACTCCATCTCATGAGGGTCGCCCTACACTTCGCCTACCGGTACGAGGCTGCCACTCCAGAACCTTTCTTCCCCATCGGTTGTCGGTTCTTCGAGCTATATGACCGGCCCACTGCCACTTCAGCTTACTAATCCGTTGGGCTATGTCGGTTACTTTGGTTCTACTGCGGATATACTCATTTCTAAGTTTATCACGCAGAGAAACCCCGAGCATAGCCCTCTCCATAGCTCGCTGAGCGACCTTGAGCTTCCTCATACAGCCAGCAGTGAAGGACCACGTCTCAGATTCGTAAGTCATCACTGGCAACACGTACTGGTTGTACATATAATATTATGATAGGCAATCATAATTTGTAGCAATACTTTGAGGATGATCTATATTGAGCTAATTGAGCCTAAATTGAGCCGTGGTAGCTCAGATGGTTAGCGCTCGCGGTAAATTTCACAGTACGAGAGCAATCCGGGTTCGATCCCCGCTGGCACCAATGAAAATGTTAATTGCAATTTTTAGCGCTGATTTAGCACGTGCTCGGCGGTGAAGGAAAACATAGTGAGGAAACCTGCATGTCTGACAAATAAGAAAAAAAAGTATTTCGAAGGCATGTGAAGTTCGCCAACACGCAATGGGGCAGCGCAGCGGACACTTCCTTGCCCTAAAACCCTCTCAGAAATGAGAGGAGGCCGGTGCCCAGCAGTGAGACCATATAGTAAATATGTAAATTTTATTTTTAAATGTAAGTTAAAATAATGAAAGACTTGGTGTGTGAGTGTGACGCCCTGTTTTGATTTAGTCTCTCTTCTTCTATGGTATAATAAGTCCAAAAATATCTAGCCCAAGTTTTACAGACTGATGTTGGTGAACAGGATTAGAAAGTTAACGCCAGTTATTTTTCCTTTTTTGGTTCTGTACTCACTTCCTCTCCTCCAGCTCAAGTTCGTGGTGCCTGTTGGCGAGCGCGAACACGCGCAGCTTGCAATTGGCCCAGCTCGAGCGCTGCGAGATAATGTACGGTAGTAGGATGGTTAGCCCGCCGTCGTCGTACAGCCACCATACGTCCACTGTTCCCTTGTCCTGGAAATGAAAAAAAGTGTTATATTTATAACATATAATATAACACTTTTTTTATTTATATATATATATATATATATTATACGAATATATATATATATATATATATATATATATATATATAAATAAAATTTAAAAAATTCGTATAATATATATATATATATTATACGAAAACCGTGAGGAAACCTGCATGGTTATACAATATTAAAAAATAAAAATAAAAATCGAGGATGCCAACAACAAACATTGGGGCAGCTGTAGTGACGTTTGTTATCTTTTCATGACTTTATCCACTGAACAGATCTTGCTAACCTTTACCTCTGCTTGCTAGAAATGGACCTGGGCCTTTTTTTAACCTTTTATTTTTCTTTTGATCCTATAAGGACGAAATCACGAATACATTTAATAATATGCACGCACTAGTGTTTAACGTTTAACGTGCTAGTAGTTTAAGAGTTTGGCTATATTATATCTGATCTGTAAAATATTGTGTCTGATTTTTGTTGATACTGTGCTCTAAATACTCCTTTCCGACTTGTAAATCTAATTTTTCGATTTTTATATTATAAATCGATTTCTTATACTTACACGAACTACACAGAGTAAAACCAATTTTTTTACGGTTTTGATTCCATTTAATTAAGTTATTTTTATGTATTCTCGACGTTAAACACCTAACTACAGTATGTACTAACCTGTTTCCTCTGGAATATAGACATCTGCGACAGCTGGTCTGAAGACATTTCTAGCCCCGAAGAAGACTTGTAAATGACTTGTTTGTGGAAGTTCAAAGGTTTTTTATCCTTTTTCTTCTCCTTTTCCCTCTCTTTTTCTTTTGAGTCGCCCTTCTCTGATATCGTGAATGACCGGGATGTGGTTAGGGTTAACAAATCTGTAAAATAATCATAACTATTATGTAAACTGACTAAAAATCATAACAAAATTAGGTAAAAAAAAAAACAAGCAGAATATTCCTACGTGGTAGAGCCACGTTCTAACACTTTTAACGCTGCAGTACGAATTGTTCGGCTCGACTGGGGAAGGACCACGCCCTCACGTAAAATACCAGCTTAATGCTGCTGCGTTTCGTACGGTGAGTGAGAGTGAGAACCAGATACCCTTTTTACTAGAAACGAGATCTTGCATCGTAGCCGTCAGATGTGATAAGGCATCTGCATTTTGATTTTTAATCGAGGATGGATATAGATCCCAAGTAGCACACAAGCAATATAAGCAGACATTGTATCGGTCTCTTGCTGTATAATAGTTGTTTAAGGAAATTTGTATTTTAACCTATATGTATATAACATATTCTCATACCTTTAATAATTTCACGAATAATTAATTATTTTGTTTTGCATGTGTTAATAAAATTAGTTCAAATTACAAGCGGGCCCTAAAATTTTTCTATAGCAAAAAATTTCTATGTGCTTTTGTACCTCAAAATTGGTAAAATTAATCTAGTTTGGTGATTGTTGATCTTCAAGCTCCACTCGTAAAATAATTATCACCGTATTATAATAATTAGCGCCGTACTACTTCTAAAACCGTTATAATGGATATAGAAGATGTCTAATGGTCCCGACACACGGTCAGTTAAACTGACATCAGTTCAACTGATCAGTTCAAACGCAATTAATCTAAAAAAAGTTCGACACACACGGTCAGTTCAACTGATCATTCCAACTGATTAGTTCAAACTAGGAATGTTTATATTTTTAAAATATTGGACTTTCAATATATCGATAATTATAAATATATCGTTATCGGAGTTTAATATCTCGAAAACAGCGATATATCGGCTTTATTTAAAAGAAAACAATCGTATGTTAGCTCCAAAATGATTTACTCAGTTTATAATTTAGTACATTTATTAAACAAATTAAATTATAAATGTATGAAAATGTGTTTAGGTTATAATTCTTACTAATTATTTATGAGCCGTGGTAGCTCAGATGGTTAGCACTCGCTGTAAACATTGTTTACATTATTTACACAGTATTTGATGACTTATGTATAAAAATCAGTTTTCTTATTCCTCTTATCACTTCTTTTCAAACCTTTTCGAATTTCATGTCCTAATAAATTGACCACCTTAAAATTTTAATGCGTTTTAGTAAGATGAATTACAGCAAATTTCACAGATTTCGCGGGCGTATGAAAAATTTAGCGTAATTAATGCATATTTTGACAGAAAACTGATGCACTAATATTCTACGCAAACAAGTGAAATTAAATCATTCTATCTTACTTTACACTAATCATCTTTTTTTAAATATTTACTACCATAACACATCACAATCAATTTGAAATCATATTTGTCATTTACGTTCTGCAACTATAATTCTTATATGTACATTATGTAAAAAATATATTTAAGATGCTTTAAGCTTTAGTTACAGAGTTGCAGCCGCGTCGCAATCATGTGCAAATTCTATAAAGGTGGCACAAGAACTTCTTGTATTTTAGCTCCAAAATTCACAATTCACGCACCTTTGTATCGCTTTGCAAGCTCACCGTGCCTTTATCGTACCCCTACTACAGCGCTGAAGCCCGTTAAAAGTGGGCCCTTTTCAGTGGCATAGCAGCGATTGAGAAGTTCTCTGTCGCTACTGTTGTACTTACTTATGAAGGTAAAACCATTACATATACCTGTTAAGCGGCTGCTGTAGCGCTTTGGTATACCACTTGTGTGTTACTTGGGATGTCTATGGGCCGTAGTCTTCGTATTACCATGAAGTGTACTGTATGCTCGTTAGTCCTCCTTATTCTTTAAAAAATGTCTTACAGTCCGAATATATGCGTGCATAATGCAGCTGCAGCATAAATTCCTTCGTTTACTGTAGTCTTGAGGGGTGAAAAAGCATCTGTAGTCGTCGCTTGGAGTTTGTCGGTTGGTCGTTTGACTTTACGTTTTTGCATTTGTAGTTGGTTGCTTATGGATTGTACAATCGTTTGTTTGTGCTATAAACGTAACGTTTGTTTTCCTTCATCGACGGGCACGTAGTAAATCAGCACTTAAAATTGAAATTAACCATTTCATTGGTGCCGGCGTGGATCGAACCCGGCTTATTCTCGCGCAATGTAAAGTTTTCCTCGAGCGCCTAGTCCTATAAGTTACCACGACTTACGGTGTGTTAATTTAAGAGTCAAAAATGTAAGCGTGGAGAAGTTGCTTGCGGAAAATAATGAATGTGCCCTTTGCTTAGTATCAGAGTGAGTCTCGGTCACTTTGCATCGTGCATACATAGGGCGTGCGAGTCGGGCAGCGCACAGAAGTCGAAGAGTAAACGGTGAAAAGTTGTTCAATATAAGAAAATAACTACTTTGTCGTTGGCTATAGAGTGGGTGCCACACCAATAAAGTTATAGTGTAGTTTATGCTGCGTACGCTGTGTGCACTAGATGAAAGCATTACTGGCTGTTTTGGCGGGAACTTGATCGGCGGCAGTTTGCTGCTTTTGTATTATTGTTTAAATAATGGTTTGAAGTGGACTTTAATATGTAAAAGTGGTGCGATTTTGTTTATTAATTGTATACGCATGTGAACTATTAGTGGAAACGGTGAAACAAGTACTCTGATGGTGATGTGATTCTTAAGATAAGGTGTCTGTCTGCTTAGGCCCTTTGAGATACCATGGTCAACTGTCAGCTGTCAGCGGTCTGCTGTCAAAATCTCCCAAGGACTGTACAATGTGACGCATCAACATATTGTGAAGCAGTGTACTATGAAGGATAATTATACATTGTAACTTCAGGCTCAGAAGGGCTAGAACCCAGAGCCGTAAAGCCAGTTATAAAAAAGCATTAATGGCATGTGGTTGCATACGTACGCAGGTTGTGGCGGCTGGAGGGCTGCGAGTCGGGCAGCGCGCGGATGTCCAGGTCGGAGTCGGCGTGCAGCACGGCGGCGGCGCGCACGCGCAGCTCGGCCGAGCCGTGCGACGTGGCGGTGAGGCCGCGGCTGGGCGCCTCCTCGCCCGCGCCCACCGCACCCACGTCTAGCCCGCCGCGCACGCGCACGATCGCCACAGCCAGCCGCGTCTCGAAAGCAGTGCTACAACACCACGTTTTATATGAGACACAAACCTAACATATAAACAAGCAGACTACTGTCGTGAACCACTCCTAACACAAGACATTCAGGTGCCCGCTGCGTTAAGAGGGATCCCGCGTGTACACCTAGTGTAGGCCTAGTCGCGTGAGACCGTCGCGTCGCTCCCGCCGCGGGATTCCGGGTTAACGCAGCACCGCTAATACTACATGATCGTGCATGTTTTCAATCGTATTGTACATAATGAATTATCTTATTAACTAGCTGTTCCACGCGACTTCGCCCGCGCGTATTTTATTACAATTGGATTTCATGGGTTTTAATTTTTTACGCTGAACCCTAATTCTTTTTCTAAAATAAAAGTAGCCTAAGTTGCTTTTTATAACATCTGTTCTTATAACATAAGTTTCTTCTTACAATATCTGCCGGTGAAAGTCCGATCAAAATCGATCCAGCCGTTTCGGAGATTAGCCGAAACAAACAGACAGACAGACAAAAATTTTAAAAATCGTGTTTTTGTTATAAGTACCGTATATACTTTCATATGCATATAGTAAAAAGTTGTTATTGCGACATTACAAATAGACACTTCAATTTTATTTATTTGTATAGATTTATTCAGATGATCATCAATATCGTTAGAATTTATTTGCCATATCCGATAATAGGTATATTAGGTATTATCCCGTATTTAAGAATATTGAAAAAACTTCTAATTACTTTAATTATTAGATTAAATTTTAATTTTTTAACCATATAAAACATAGTAATAATAATCACAACACCTACTTTCATTTCATTGCAAACATGGATATCGGGATAGATCACGTATTAATTGATCCGTAGTATGGCATATTATAGCAAATAAATTCTGTAAAGACATTATACTACTTTGAACAAAAATTTTAAATCGTGTGTATGTACTTCTACAGGTACAGCTCGCGTCACGCCGGATACAAGTCGCGGCACGTAAGTCCAGCGCTGAACGAAATGTGGAAGGGATAGCTGCGCCTGTGTACTGTCGTCCACGTAGCACGTATCAGTACGGTGGACGGAATGCGATAGAAGCGCCAATCAGCGCGTGCGAACGATATGCACGCCCGCCCCGCGACCCGCTTACTACCCCATGATACCTTATTTTCTACTTATGCGCAATAAAGTCACCGCTAGACTTACGTGCCGCGACTTATATGTATATGCGTCGTGTGGAGTGTGGACCAGTCGCACGCGTTACCGTAGCGTAAAACACCGCACGACGTAGCAGTGCTCCATAATTTTGAAGAAACAAACACGCGTGCTTCTTCACGCATACGAGTCCCGCTTAACGCAGCAGACGCCCTTAACCTTGGAGTGATTAACGGGATAGCGTTATAGTGTTACTATAATTCTCTTGAAATGAGTGCATAACGCGACCGTCTCATAGTTAGGTAATTGACACCATCATAATATTACAGTAAAGTCTAAATACAGCTAACTCACTGGACGCAGCTTCCTCTAATTCCTAGGAGGATTTTAGGGCAATCGCAAGTACGAGATGTGCAGTCGACACATGTCCTCGGAAGATTTTTTATTTCTCAGACTTTTTGAGCCCTCAGATTGTTATGGAGTTTTTCCGCCTTGGGTTATCGTGGCTCACAAGGCAATAGTAATTTACATTCAAAACATTAAAATTATGTTGTTTCATTTGGCACTGATTACGTTGGACCTCAGCAGAATAAAGTTATAGAATATACAAAGACCGAGACGTAATAGAACTACTGGCATCTATAAAGTATATTACGCGAAAAGGGCAAACAATTGTAGCTGCTAACGACTTCCCGATCATATTGTTTATAGGCCGCCGTGTGGTGGCGGCATAAGACAATCCATTACCCCGTGGGTGTAGTAAGATAAAATGACTCAAACAATTAAAAAAAATCTGCGGTTGCCAACCAGTCCAACAAGCGTGGCATCTATGGCAAATATCACCCCATTCAGGCAATCTATGGGCGAGGCTAATGTTCTTTTTACATCTGCGTCTATCCTCAATTAAGAAGCAAATTGCAGATGCATTGTCACACCTGAGGACTGAGATGAAATGCCTTGTTACCAGTAAAGAGGATCTTCGGTTCTCTTTACTCACCCTACCAAACACAGCAAAATGTTCAGCAGTGGCCTTTGACGGCTGTGATGTTGATGATGAATTTTATTGGCACAACTTACTGCAGCACGTTGAAGTAGGCGACGAGGTCTGCGCTGGGCGCGGTGGCCCAGTCGGCCTTGTAGCCCATGAGCAGCACGTTGGGCGCCAGGCGGCCCACGCCGGCCGCCTGCATGAGCGCGCGCGCGCCCGTCTCGAACGCGAAGCCGCTCACTGAGGCGGGGAACGCGCGCACCTTGCGCCCGCGCAGCCACTCGTCCGCCGCGCGCGCTCGGTTCGCGCGCTCCTTGTACGACAACTTGTTCTGAAAGTGAACCGCACACTTGAACACATACTAAATGTATTCTATTATAATATTTGAGTAACAAGCGAGCTCAAAGCAACGGAACTCCATAATAGCTGCGGTACAAATAGGCAATGGAATGTTACCAACCTAGCGATTGGACGGTCAGGCCGATGCATTGGTAGAGATAGATATTAGAGATATGTTAGAGCCATGGGCGTAGCTACCGCCGCATCAGCCGTATCAATGATACGGGGTCCTCGGGCTACAGAGGCCCCGAACATATGTAAGCAAACATTCTAAGGACTTCTATGGGACTAGACGTTGGCTTGAATTGTTTGGCTAGCTTAGTTCCTAGGAGTATTAATTGTAAGTAATAACTTATATAATTATTTTAATTCAATGCGAGAGTTTTTGTTCCTTTTGTGAAAAATCTTTAGGTACCCTTCATTTGGGCCCCCCGACAAATTTTGATACAGGGCCCCTCTAAGGCATGCTACTCCACTGGTTAGAGCTACATCAAACTTATCCACTAGAGAGAGAGGATCACGCTTGCTCAAAATACCAGCCAGAAATAGCAGCATAATGCGAGTTTCGTATTGACGAAAACCCTTCTTACTCGTAACACGGCGTTCCACTTTAGTCCTCGGGGTCAACAACGTATCTGCATTTTAACTCTTATTGTTTGTCTCTTGGGTCTTAGTATCCACTTACCATCAGGTGTGATCTTTCATTTAGGTAGTTTTAAATTCTTCATTTATTGGTGATTCACCAGTGACAGACAATCAATTCACCAGCTTTTCCTTTTAGCCGATTTGAAATGTTAATGCATTTCATAGTTGCTTATTTTTAAGATTAGAAAATTTCTCTCTTCAAACTAGGTAAGACAAATCATTTTATTTTATCTAGTGGATGTACGCAAAGTTATTTTTTGTTAAATTTATTATTAGAAAATTTATTTTCCTAATACAGTACAATAAAAATATCCAATAATAATTAAGTGAAACATTTTAAGGCTCAATTTACATTACGGCGGAATGGAATGGAACGGAAGCGTCAATTTCGCCTCGTCACGCGGGAAGGCTCGCGAATACGCGGGCTAAGTAATACATATAGTATGCACCATTCAGTTATTTAGTCTAGATATTTTATTTGACAAGAATAATTGATTGGATATTATTTTCATCTTGCTTATTTGAATAATAGCAGCAAAAGGAAAAGAAATATTTAGGTTCAAAATTTACGGAAGAAAGTAAACGTCACCCTTCGCGCCACTTCCCGCGGATTCCACAGACTGTACCGACAGTAGCTACGGAATTCTCGAGAATGCGCGAGAATACCACAGAAGAAGCGCGACTTCTTTTTTGGCTTATATCTAGTTTGCACGTTGCTCAATTTACATTGCGGCGGAACGGAATGGAAGCGAATTATATTATACATAGTAAAATGAATTTTATGTTAATTGTGTAACGTGCAAACCAGTATATGAGCCAAAAAAGAAGTCGCGCGTTTTATTTTATCATATCTACTTTGCACGTTACCCCATTGCCATAAAATTCGTTTTACTATGTACTATTTCGTTACGAAAATTCGCTTCCATTCCGTTCCGCGGCAATGTAAATTGAGCCTTACATTTCCTTTTTGATTTCTCGCAAGAATACTAAGGGCTGTAATGATGATGATGAAGAATACTAAACATTGAATGAAACGGATATTAAGAATTTTATCGATTAATTTGAATTGTTTTTAATTCCCGACATTTCCGATGCTCTACAGCACCCATAGCCACAGAGGGACGTCAAACACCTCAGATGTTACAGTTAATCCTGATCACTTTCAGCTTTTGAATATTATTTTTTGGTCAAACAAGTGAGTTGACATAGGACACAGTAAAGTAAATTAAAACAAGGCCTGACCTGCGATATGTCGGCGACGATCATGAGCGAGCCGGGCTTGGTGATGAGGTGCGCGAGGTCGACGAGCGCGGGCCGCTGGTGCGCACGGCCCGTTAGCACCAGCAGCTGCGGCCAGTAGTTCTTCACGTGCTCGCCCGTGCGCGCCAGGCTGTGCGCGCTCGACAGCGCCGTCTTGTACATCTGCGCCTGCGTGCTGCTGCCCCAGTTCACGTCTGGAAGAGGAGGGAACGAACCCATGAATAGTAGGAGACGAACCCGTAAATAGTATACTATTTAACATAATTTAATTATATCTATACTAATATAATAAACTAGAAGAGCTTTTTTGTTTAAACACGCCAATCTCTGGAACTACCAGTCTGATTTGAAAAATTATTTTTGTATATTATAGCCAGATTCATGAGGAATAGTATAGGCTATATCTGACATTAAGTTATATCTCACAGCTAGCCTTGAATATTGATTTTTTTAAGCAAGTAAGAATAAAAGGCGCCCCCGAACGGCTTTATCCGCATGCGCTGGCGTAATGGTTAGTGATACGTGAATTGTTCTACAAAAATACCTTATACTTTCTATATAACCGTAACCTTTACTTCATCTACTAAAAATCCGCGGCACCATATGTCTATCTATTATAAGCTACAAGAAGGTATCTTGTGAATTTTTATAATTAAAAATTAAAAAATGATTTAAATGAGCGTTATAATTAGGTATATAATGGTATTTTAATTCTTACGAACGAAAGTTACTACATCATCAAGACAATTTTATGGAGATAAACTTTGCTCCTTATAACATGTTATTTGGACGCGTAGTTTAAGAAATAGTGAAAAATTAAAATAATTCAGCACTCGGCTCGCATAAGCCTAGAGAAACCATCAGTGAACGCCGGTGCGCGAGGTTTCACAACATATAGGCGTAAGCGAGGTGTCCACGTGGCATAACACTAACCATGTGCTCGAAGGTAAAGGAAAACATCGTGAGGAAATCTGCATGTCTAAGAAATAAATAAAAAATCGAATACATGTGAAGTCCGCCAACACGCATTGAAGCAGCGCGGTGGGTCCCAAAACTTCTTTCCGCTATTCAAAAACAAGAACGAGTGAAATGCTGTACTCCGTTTTTATCCTTATGTAAAGGCCGACAGAAAGGAGTTTTGGATTCAATTGTTACGGGTGATAAAATCATGGTTCTTTATCATGATCCTTGGTCAAAAAAAGGAATCGATGTGGTGGTCGACCGAGCTCAACGCGGCCAAAAAAATCAAAGGTGACTCAATCTCAGAAAAAGATTATGACTACTATCTTTTTGGATTCCGAAGGAATTATACTGGTGGATTTTAAAGAACGCAACACAACAGTAACAGGCGATTACTATGCTTCCTTGCTACATAAATTGCGATGTGCTATTGTTAAGAGCTTGGGTTTCGAGACAATTAAAAACTGCCGAGTGAATTACCAAAATTTACACTTTAATTACAGAACACTAATTACAACTTAAAACAACACTAATAAAATACAATTGTACTACTGATCACTTTAGTTCGTAGCTGTATCGCTTCGAAGTATTTGCTTGTATCGCCAATTCAATACTGACTCGGTCGTGGTCTATACCGGCCTTATATAGATCCTCAGATAGTTTCCAGAACCGTCTACTGTAGAAACATCTAGAATATTCGAGGACATATCGGTCCCGAAATTTCTAGAAGGATCTTGACTCTCCTAGTTCTACTACTCGATACTAGAGGGCGCTAGTGGTAACTAGTGTTGCCATGTACAAGACATTAAAAGTGGCGCGCAACACTGTTAAAGAAAAACATCGAAGAGAGGAGGGTTATTACTTCATGACAATGCTCCGGTCCACACATCGGGTGTTTCCAAGGCTGCCTTTAAGGAATGCAGTTTCACTGAGCTCGTCCATCCACCATTATTATAGACCGAAAACTGAAATCCGACTTACGGAGAAATAACTTTTACACTGATGATGAGGTGAAGTCAGCAGTTTTATCACGTTTTGAAGGCAAAAAATCAGACTATTTTTAAGGGTACAGAAAATTTAGTGAATTGCTGTGAAAAGTGTATTGAAATAAAGGGTGTTTATATCAAAAAATAATCATAGTGGCCTTTTTGGACTTTGGACCTTACTATAGGCTTTAACTTTAACTTTAAGCGAGGTGTCATGTTGCGCGACTCAGACGCGTGAATCAGGCGGGTGAAACCGCGGGGCACAGCCAGTTAATTATAACACAGTGTAGAGCGATGTAAGAATATCCACTTCCCCATATCATCCCATGGGTTCTTCTTTTTCAGCGGCAATGGAGAATCCGCCTGCCCAACTCAACCCGTGGCGATTGGACGAAGTGCCTGTAAAGTATCGAAGGGTAGAAGGCGCTGAAGCCATTTTGGATTTATGCCACGCGTAAAATACCAGCAGAAGGAAGCAGCATCAAAGGCGTGAGATATTTAGTAATGCGATTTTTTTTATAGAATAAGGGTGACAAGCGTGATGTGATGTGAACTAATGAAATTTGTCAACAAATAACAAACTTCGCGAAAACTGTGGCACCGTGACCAAGGGATTCGTGACAAACGGTCTTACTTATATTAGTCATAAAGTGAAAAGCTCCCCCCCTTTTCACTTAACTATAAGCATTTCTTATTGACGTCGGTTTTTATGAATAAGGAAGAAAGACGTTTCCTCAAACCCGAGATTATCTATAAACCACGTATTGTAATAAGATCGAATGTGTTCTACTCGTTCATTACGTACTTGTGACCACTCAACCACATCATGAAAATATAAACCTAGAGAGAATAATCATTTCACTTCTGAAAATAGATCTTTTGAAGTGGGGAAATTTTGCTAATCCAAACATTTCTGACTTTAGGCGCTGTTTCGCGTCACAGACCTAATTTTAGGCTTGTTATTGAGATGTAGGATCGACATATGCGTAGGTCGCGATAACGATAGTTTCTCTGTAAAATTTACAATAACTACAGGCCACAGGGGCCGTACTAAGCCAACCTTATATCCATACTAGCTGGCCAGGCAGACGTTGTTCTGCCCTTTTCGACGACCCTTCGTATAAAAAATGCTTAAATTCGTAATAAAAAAATATTGAGTGTAACTTATCAGGATAAAAACTATCCTATCTCTCAAGTTGGACCAAACTGCACACAGTGTGCAAAATTTCATTGAAATCAGTTCAGTAGTTTAGGAGTTCATCGCGGACAAACAACGTAACACGTAATTTTTATATATGAAGATAAACATTAATGAAATAATATCAATTAAAATCTTAATTTCAATTTTACGTGTGACCGCACTTAAAATTGCAATTAACATTTTCTACTCGTAAAATATTGTGACGCAATTAGTATTACTAAGAAATCAAAAAAACAAAACATTATGTTTTGGGTCTTAAAAATAAGAGATGAGTAATACCTTTCATATGGACAGCTACCCAACCTTTTGGACGCATATAGACTAACTTTTACAATATTATTATTAAGTGACGAAGCTTGCGAAGTCACTTATTGATTTCACGATGTCTGTCCGTCTGTCTGTCTGTCCCACGATTATCTCGAGAACGGTTTTGAATTTTCAAATTCTGTTTTCAGCAATCGATTACTGATCACCCACGCATCTCAACCTCCTATTTTGAAACTGATTGCTCAACGGCAACCGTTAGAAACCGCTACAAGGCTGATTGCTTCGCCACTTTGCTATGCTGTTAGCTTGCTAGGTTTATTATTGAATGATCAGCACACGGGATCATAAAATATAGTTTTAATCTTCTTCTCTTCTCTACATACTATAAAAAAGTTGCTTCCCACCGCCTGTACGCTTAGATCTTTTATACTAAACAACGGATTTTGTAGCGGTTTTCATCAATAGACAGAAGGGAAGGTTTATGTATATAGTACATGCATATTATATAATTCTTCTATCTGTGTGTATGTGACTGAATTTCTCCTAAACGACTGGACCGATTTTGATGAAATTTTGTGTGTGATAAAGTTGACTCGAGAATGGTTTAGATTCACAATTGGACCCGGTAGATGGCGCTGTTGTCGAAATCCAGAAACACCCGTGCGAAGCCGGGGCGAATCGCTAGTATAATATATAAAGTTAAGGTCTATATACGTTCCACAGGTGGACACAGTCCTGCTCTCATTTCTGAGAGGGGTATGGAACAATTAATTCGCCGTGCTCCTTCAGTGCGTGTTGGCAGATTCTCATGTCCTCAAAATATTTATTTCATACCTCAGACATATAGGTTTCTTCGCAATGTTTGTTTTTGACGTGGTAGAACCATGCTGCAGCTATAATATGCTTGTAGCGCATATGGATCAACTCGACCGGGGTAGGACCACGATCTTATTATTATTAGATATATTTAGCAGCTTAACGCTACTGTGTTTGGTATGTTGAGTGTAGAGAACCGGAGACCCTTTTTACTGGAAACTAGCTGTCCCTCGCGACTTCGCTCGCGTAAAATTTACTACGATTTCACGGGTTTTAATTTTTTTGCGCAGAACCCTGATTCTTATTCTAAAATAAAAGTGTCCTAAGTTACTCCTTATAACATCTGCTATCTGCCAGTGAAAGTCCCGTCAAAATTGGTCCAGCCGTTTCGGAGATTATCCGGAACAAACAGACAGACAGACATAAATTTTAAAAGTTGTTTTTTTTTGTTATTACTACCGTATCCGTATATACTTTCACATGCATTTAGTAAAAAGCTGTTATTTTAACATTACAAACAGACACTTCAATTTTATTTATTTGTATAGATGAGACATTCCGTCTTAGTCCTCAGGGGTGAAAACGCATCTGCATTTTGATTCTTAAGCGAGGGTAAACTGTCTGCGGGCCACAGCACCCACTTACCATCAGGTGGACTGGGTGCTCGTTTGTACCCTTATTCTACATAAAAAAATATGTTTCCTTTCACCACCGAGTGCGTGGTAAAATTGCAATTAACAATTTCATCGCTTGTGAAATTTACGCCGAGCGCTTAGCCACATGAGTAAAGAAATCTTATTTAGTCTTCTTGTCTGCCGACTTTCAAAAAGGAGCCGGTACTCAATTCGACTGTATGTTTTTTTTATGTGTGTTACCTCATAACTTTTAACTGGGTAAATCGATTTCGATGATTCTCTTTTATTTGAAAGCTGGTACTTCTCGTGTATTCCCTTATGAATTTGATCAAGTTAAGACCAGTAGTTAATGAGTTATTCTTAATAACTTATATTGAAGTCGGCTGTACAAAATTTTTAATTTTAAATGATTCTATTATTTATTCTGTGTTAGACCTTGAGCTACCACGGCTGTTACACGGCCGTATGATATATTAAATATAAATATTATGGCCGTTATGTAATATAAAGTACAAGTGAGAGCAATGATGCAATAATTCATAGAAACCGATACGGATTTAACTCACAGTCAACAGTAAGCTATTCTCGTCTATGGAACTTGTACTGATATAAACGTAAAACCCGTGTAAGCGAACAATTTGAAGAGTTGTAAAATTCTTTTAACGTTGTAGAGCCGTGCTGCAGCTATGTTACTGGTACTATAATTTATCAGCGCATGTTTACTAATCCGATTACAATGTAGGTGACATGGTAATCAGATGGAAAATCGCCTAGGCAAAAGTGAAGTATACATCTACATCTATCCACGTTTGCGAATCAAAATACAGATGCGTTGTCACCCGTGAGGACTAAGATGGAACGCTTCTTTTCCAGTAAAAAGAGTCTCCGGTTCTCTACACTCACCATACGAAACACAGCAGTGTTAAACTGCTATTTTACGCTGGTATTCTGTGAGAGCGTGGTCCTTCCCCGGTCGAGTCGACCCATTAGTGCTACAACTATACTACTAATATAGCTGCAGCATGGCTCTACCACGTATAAAAAAATGGTTCGAATGCGTGGTGCAACTTACCTGGTTTCCTGTAATGCACTATGAGGTACAGAGTGAAGAATATCGCGAACGTGACGAGGGACATCACCCAGCTGATGAGGAGCATGATCGCCACGCACATGAGGAATCCCAGCAATGATATCCATACATTGTAGTACTGAAATTAATTATACGATAAGTTATATTTGTATATTAGGTTGCCATTCTATTATTAATGTGAGGTAGTGACAACATCGTTTCACAACTATGGTAACTGCCGGAAAATCTTGTGACTTCAGATAGATGGTGGTTAACCATCTCATTTATACGTCAGACCTTCGACGCTACTGCTCGTTGCTGTACTGATGTAATATATAATAAATATATCATTATCATCATCATTACAGCCTTTCCTAAGTCCAATGCTGAATATAGGCCTCCCCCAAGGAATGCCACATAGCCACCTGCATCCATCGACTTCCTGCATGTCTTACCAGGTCGTCACTCCATCTCGTGGGGGGTCGCCCTACACTTCGCCTACCGGTACGAGGCTGTCACTCGAGAACCTTTCTTCCCCATCGGTTGTCGGTTCTTCGAGCTATATGGGCTGCCCACTGCCACTTCAGCTTACTAATCCGTTGGGCTATGTCGGTTACTCTGGTTCTACTGCGGATATCCTCATTTCTAAGTTTATCACGCAGAGAAACCCCGAGCGTAGTCCTCTCCATAGCTCATACGGCCAGCAGTGAATGACCACGTCTCAGTTCCATAGGTCATCACTGGCAACACGCACTATTTGTACAGTTTCGTTTTCAAGTTTTGAGGTACACCTGACGAGAAAATGTGCCGTAATTTCCCAAACGCTGCCCAACCGAGTTAAATCCGTCGATTGACCATTCGGTCGAAGTTGGACTTACCTAGTCGGACTATTTGTCCAAACATACTCGTCAACAACTTCAAGCTTAGTGCTCCCAACAACTACCGGCATAGGTGTGACATGGACATTAAACATGATCTTTGTTTTGTCCATGTTCATCTTAAGACCTGTCCGTTGGGAGACACTATTCAGGTCATAGAGCATGGTGCTTAGTTCCTCCAGGGATTCTGCCATAAGGACTATATCGTCGGCAAATCGAAGGTGAGTGATGTACTCGCCATTGATGTTAATACCGTATCTTTTCCGGTCCAGAAGCTTGAAAACGTCTTCCAATGCAGCGGTGAAGAGTTTCGGGGAAATAACGTCGCCCTGTCTTACACCTCTCTGCAATTGGATAGGTTTCGTACTCTGGTTCTGTACTCGGATAGCCATCGTAGCCCTACTGTACAAGCACTTCAGCACTTCGATGTACCGACAGTCAACTTGGCACCGCTGAAGGGACTGCAGCACCGCCCAAATTTCGACGGAATCAAAGGCTTTCTCATAGTCCACATACGCCAGGCATAGTGGCAAATTGTACTCCTCGGACTTCTGTACAACTTGCCGAATGGTATGTATGTGGTCTATGGTGCTAAAGCCCTTTCGGAAACCGGCTTGTTCGGGCGGCTGGAAGTCGTCAAGTCTGCGCGCGAGACGATTCGTAATGACTTTCGAAAACAGCACGTAGACGCGGCTCAGAAGGGAAATCTGTCTGTAATTCTTCAAGAGAGCATTGTCACCTTTCTTGAAGAACATGACCACCGCACTTCTGCTCCACGCCTCCGGTGCCCTACCATGGAGAACGGAATTAAAAAGCTTCTGAAGGACTTCAAGTAATGGTTTTCCACCCGCTTTCAGAAACTCCGCTGTAATTCCATCCTCGCCTGGGGCCTTGCCGTTTTTAAGGTACTGGAGAGCCATTCTAATCTCGCTCAGACTGACGTCCGGGATATCTTCGCAATAGTGTCGGACAAGACTCGTTCTTGGATCGTTACTCACACTTGCGTGTGGCTCCAACGATGACGTGTACAGCTGCCCATAGAACCTCTCAATCTCACTCAAAATCTCAGGTGCCCCGGAAACGATGCTGCCACACTTGGTCTTCAGCTTTGACAGATGGCTCTTTCTGGCAGACAGATCTCTGGCAAAGACTTTGGAGCCTTGGTTCCGCTCGATCGCTTCTTCAATACAAGCTGTATTGAAGTTGAGTAAGTCCCGTCGCATGCATTTGGAGATCTGTCTGTTCAGTTGCCTGTATGCTGTCAAATCTGTTGAAAAATGTAGCTTCATCTCCCGTCTAGCAGCCATGAGATTAAGAGTGTGATCGGAGAGTTTTTGTGTTCTTCTGCGGCGGGTCTTGCAGAACTTAGCTCCGAACGCATGGACAGTTTCCACGAGCTTGTCATTCATATCGTCCACTTCATTGCAGTCTTCTAGGCACTGAAAACGGTTTTGTAACTCGAGCTGAATGGTTTCGGGACTTTGCAACAGAGCACGAGCGGGACGGAGCGTTGACTTCATTAGACGAGACCTCTCCAACTTAACGTTTAGGTTCAGTGTACCTCTAAACATTCGGTGATCGCTACCAGTTTTCACCCTCGCGATCACGGAGACATCACTGAACAGTTGTCGTTTGGTCGTCATAATGAAGTCAATCTCATTTTTTGTCGAACCGTCGGGGCTCGACCAGGTCCACTGCCTGTGGGGCCGCTTCTGGAAGAAAGAGTTCATCATAAAGGGTTCCTCTTTCTCTATGAAGTCGGCCAGCTGGTGGCCCCTTGGGTTCCGTTGCCCTATTCCGACTTTCCCTACTTTCAGCTCACCGTTCTCTCTTGTGCATAGTTTTGCATTGAAGTCTCCCATTAACAAGGTATATTGGGTTTTGGAGGAATACATGGCTCTAGAGATATCCTCATACATTTCCTCCACCTCCTCATCGGGGTGTGCCGAGGTTGGCGCGTAAACTTGTATGACCTTCAGCGAATACCGTTTAGTGATTCTGAGTATAAGGTACGCAACTCTCAATCTTTACAACGTTGTTAACGAGAGACTTGTGGATGATAAATCCGACACCTCCTTGGGACAGTTGGTCGCCCTCCCGGTGATAGAGCAAGTTGCCGGATTCGAGGATTACCGTGTCCTCCCCGTCTCTTCGGACTTCGGATAAGCCTATAATATGCCAGCGTAACTTGTCTTCTCCAGCATCTCTTCTTCCAGCTCCACAATCTTCTCGTCATTCCTCAGGGTGCGTGCGTTGTATTTTGCCAGGTCGAGTCGTCTTACGTGGCAACCGAACCTCCACCGGAGATACTTAGCACCCCCTGCCCCGCCGTTACCATGGTCGCCACCTTAGCCAGGAATAGCGGGGCCGCCGGGGACTGGGGCCCGTCTCTTTGTTACATTCATAGGGGGGTATTTGCTATAGTTGCCACGCTTGGCGAGCGGGTTAGCAACAGCAGTTTTTTTTGTATTTTTGCTGTTATCAGGAAGATGCTGCTGCCCATCTCCTGCCTGTTTCCCTTTGTCGCCTTTTACGACACCCACGGGGAGGTATAGGGTAGTGGATATTCTTAACCGCCACTACACGGCGTAATAAATATATAATATATAATAAATAAGTAGTATATATATTAAATTCAGCGGTGCCAAGTTGACTGTCGGTATATCGAAGTGCTGAAGTGCTTGTACAGTAGGGCTACGATGGCTGTCCGAGTGCAGAACCAGAGTACGAAACCTATCCAATTGCAGAGAGGTGTAAGACAGGGTGACGTTATATCCCCGAAACTCTTCACCGCTGCATTGGAAGACATTTTCAAGCTTCTGGAGCGGAAAAGATACGGTATTAACATCAATGGCGAGTACATCACTCACCTTCGATTTGCCGACGATATAGTCCTTATGGCAGAATCGCTGGAGGACCTAAACACTATGCTCAGTGACCTCAATAGTGTTTCCCAACGGATAGGTCTTAAGATGAACATGGACAAAATAAAGATCATGTTTAATGTCTATGTCACACCTATGCCGGTAGTTGTTGGGAGCACTAAGCTCGAAGTTGTTGACGAGTATGTTTACCTGGGACAAATAGTCCGACTAGGTAAGTCCAACTTCCCCCCCGAACGGGTTCCCGCCTTGTCGTGGCGGGGGGGCTTAGTAGCCGTGGCTTGGTCACCCACGGTGAACAAAGAGGAACCCCTTGGCTGGCCCGTGGTGTAGGGCCGGCCCGAGGTGGCCACTCCGAGTGGGCTTGGCGAGCCCACTTCGGATGTGTGTCGGGGGGCTGCGGTGAGAGGGGAGTCCGCACCCTCTACCGCTGCAGCCTAGGTGGAGTCGCGGAGGAAGAGGAGTGTTGGTATGGCGATGCGCCACTCGCCCTATCCTCCGCGACTCTGACGGGGCCGCACCGTTAATGATGCGGTGGTAGTGGGGCTGCGGGGAGAGAGGAGTGTCGGTATTGCGAGCGGAGTCGGTACTCTCCGCAGCCGAATCTTGGTTGGCGGCGGAGCCATAGACCAGATCCGCCGCTGGGGCCAGGAAGGCCGGTGCTTCTGAGTGCTAGTTTTTCCTGACCCCATGGCCTTCGCGCATCGGACTCGGGGGCGTCTGTTGCGCATTGGAAATTGAAGGCCGAGGAGGAGGGCGCGCCATGTGTTCTGGTGCGCCTTACCTGAGAAGGAGATGGGGGAGGAGTAGTCCTCTCCCGAGGAGGGGCCGCCATGGGGCGGCCAGCGCAGGTGGGGCCGCGGAAGTGTGCGAAAGCGTTCCCGTGGCCCTACCAATATGCGACGAGGGTGGAACACCATGGGGTTTTAGTCGGTGCGAGTCCGACATAACCCGTCCTTGCCCCCGCGAGGCGGGTATGCGTAGGCATTTCCGCATGTAAAAAAAAAAGGTAAGTCCAACTTCGACCAAGTGGTCAATCGACGGATTCAACTCGGTTGGGCAGCGTTTGGGAAATTACGGCACATCTTCTCGTCAGGTATACCTCAAAACTTGAAAACGAAACTGTAAAAATAGTGCGTGTTGCCAGTGATGACCTATGGAACTGAGACGTGGTCCTTCACTGCTGGCCGGATGAGAAACTCAAGGTTGCTCAGCAAGCTATGGAGAGGGCTATGCTCGGAGTTTCTCTGCGTGATAAACTTAGAAATGAGGATAGCCCAACGGATTAGTAACCTGAAGTGGCAATGGGCTGGCCATATAGCTCGAAGAACCAACAACCGATGGGGAGAAAAGGTTCTCGAGTGGCGGCCTCGTACCGGCGGACGAATTATAGGGCGTCCCCCCACTAGATGGAGTGACGACCTGGTAAGATATGCAGAAAGTCGATGGATGCAGGTGGTTCATAACAGTGCTTTGTGGCATTCTTTGGGGGAGGTCTATGTTCAGCAGTGCACTTGTGAAGGGCTGTAATGATGATGATGATGATGATATATATTAAATAATTATTATTTTACTATTATTATTATTTACGTCTGACCAGCGACGAGCAGTAGCGTCGGAAGAGCTAGAAGTCTGGCACTGCGACCATCAAATCGCTTGCCAAGTATGACATTTAAAAAATATCTTTCTGCAACTGGAGGGAGAGACCCTTATTTTCTACCGACTTCAAACTGGAGGAGGTACTCAATTCGCCTGTATGTTTTTTTAATGTGTGTTACCTCATAACTTTTTTCTGGGTGAACCGATTTCGATGATTCTTTTTTTATTTGAAAGCTGGTGCTTCTCATGTGGTATCGTATAAATTTGATCAAGGTATGACCAATACTTTTTGAGTTATTCTTAATAATTTATATTGAAGTCGGTTGTAGAATTTTTTTAATTTTAAGTTATTTAAATATATTTACGTGATGAGCGGGCCCATGGGCACATATTATATGCAACCAACTTCAAACAAAGAAGGCCACCTCAAATACAACATATTCATACATCATAATTATACTTTTATGCCCCATACTACGGTTTTGTTCTGTATCGTGGAGGTGTTTTACATACATAAATAAAACATCCAGACAGAAAAAATTGTTGGAAGACCTTATAAACACATGTTCTGTGCAGGATTCGAACCTGCGGCCCCGCAGCGTCGCAGTCGAATGGTTCGCAATGCAGCTTGGCAGGAAGACAGAAAGGGAATATCACCTAGATAACATGATAGTAATAGCTTCTTAATCATAAAGCTGATTTCAATGTGCTTGAATGTGCTCGCCTTTTCTTATATTCCATGTTCAGTTTAATGTATATCATAAGATGCGAGTTACAAGATGCTGTTTATGCTTTTCACACAAGGGTCACGATCATTCCAGACAAGATAATTTAGACTGCCTAATCATATTACTACAGACATCGACGTTGGTTCGTCTGTTTTGATTACTCTGCAGCAATGATACTTATTGTTAACCGACTTTAAAACTGAGGAGGTTCTCCATCCGAGTGTAGGTATTTTTTGTATGTATGTTACGCGATATCTTCGCAGATTGTGAACCAATTATGATGATTCTTTTTTTTATTAAATAGGTGGTCTTCACCACATACATGGGACCACTTCAAGGGTGGTCCCATGTAAATTTCTAGAAAAAAATCCACCCCTAATGGTAGCAAATAAGTAACTTCTTTTTTAGCAATTTGAAGTCAGTTTTAACTTTTTGGTAAAATTTATAATTATTATATATAATATCATTGCTTTACAGTACTGCAAAGATCGGTTTAGTAAAAGCTACACGTGCATTCTTTTTAATTTTAGGAGATTTTATTACCTTTATCATGTCAAATATAATAACAATGCTAAAATCTATTAAAATACAATAGATAAGGCTCGTAGAGATGTAAATCTTATAATAATTTATACGATAAATGTGACAAATTCTATCAAAAATACAAGCGAGACGAGTGCAGTTTTAAATTAGACGATTTTAACAGTAGGTACTGTACAGTGATATTACATACATACGGTACAGAACATTACGACGGCTTATGACGTAATCCATCCATAACTCCCTCATAAAGTGCGTGTACTAAAACTTAATAACAGCCGTCCCGCCCGTTACTATTGTAAGCATTATGTGTAGAGCCATGCTGCAGCTATATTACTGGTATAGTTGTAGCACGAATGGGTCTGCTCGACCGGGGAAGGACCACGCTCTCACAGAAAACCAGCGTAAAACAGCAGCTTAAGTCTGCTGTGTTTCGCATGGTGAGTGTAGAGAACCGAAAACCCTTTTACTGGAAACGAAGCATTTCACCTAATATGGGTGACAGTGCATCTGCATTTTGATTCTTAATCGAGGATAAATGTAGATGTCTATGGGTCACAGCATCCACTTACCATCAGGTGGACTGTGCGTTCGTTTGTCACTCCTATTCTATAAAAAAAGCATACAAGTCTATACCAACAATATTTTATTATAATGTATTGAAGAATAGCGTGTAGTGGTCACGTTGCAGTTGTATTACGACCGCTAGACGCATGAGACCGTGGAAAGACAACGTTCTCAAAGAAGACCAACATTTCGTGTGGTAAATAACAAGATTAGTAAGGTTGTTTTACTCATCACAAGGTATTTCATCCTTCATCGTCCACAGAGGCAAAAAGGTGTTTGCATTTTGATTCTTAATCGAGGATAAATTATGCATATTATGAAACAGATTATTTAGTTACCTATTAGGTGAGCAGTGTTCGTTTGTTACCGTTACTTGTCAAAAAGCCAGAAATTTTCTTTTCAAAATTTTTGTTACTTTGTTCGGTGTTATGAGCTAAATTTTTAATGCCAAACGAACTTGCATTTTTTTTATAGGATAAGGGTGACAAACGAGCACACAGTCCACCTGATGGTAAGTGGTTGCTGTGGCCCATAGACATCTACATCTATCCTCTATTACAAAACAAAATGCAGATGCGTTTTCACCCGTGAGGACTAAGATGGAATGCCTCATTTCCAGTAAAAAGGGCCTCCGGCCACCTGCACTCACCAAGCGAAACGCAGAGGTAAACCTCTACTTCACGCTGGTATTCTGTGAGGTCGTGGTACTACCCCGGTTCGAGCCGGCCCATCCGTGCGACAGCAAAAATGTCGCGTGGCTCTACCACTTTTGAAAAATTCCGTCTAATAGTAAATGGTACTCGTACTGGAGCCCATAGACAGCTGCAGTTAAATTCAAACAAAGAACGCTAGAGGTGTACCACTGAGCACTAAGATGGAATGCCTTACGAACGAATACCTTATTTACACTTGGTAGAGTCATGCTGCAGCTATATTAGTAGTATAGTTGTAGCACGAATGGCTCGGCTCGACCGGGGTAGGACCACGCTCTCACAGAATACCAGCTTAAAACTGCTGTGTTTCGTATGGTGAGTGTAGAGAACCGGAGACCCTTTTTACTGGAAAAGTAGCATTCCATCTTAGACCTCACGGGTGACAACGCATCTGCATCTTGATTCGCACACTAGGATAGTTGTAAATGTCTATGGGCCACAGCAACCACTTACCATCAGGTGGACTGTGTGCTCGTTTGTCATCCTATCCTATAAAAAAAACTTATAATTATACTGGATCATACATTTTAGACCGGAACCTATGCGTGCACGCACTGCTGCTTGCTAGCAGAAATAGCCAAGAGGGTAGAAGCTTCTAGATAGAAAGGGAGTCTTATTACCTACTCGTAGTATTCCTTCTTTAATAGGCACATTTTTAGAGGCTCGTAACAAACAGTAATATATGAGAATCTCTCGCCGCTGGAATGCAAATAGCTTGTAATAAAACAAACAGAAGTCTGTAGATATAAAATATAATAAAACATGGGCAGATTTCAAAACGACGTAAATAGATCAAGGCGTATGTAACCCGAATAACAAATTCAACGAACAAACTCACCCGGAATGTGGGCCGCCAGCCGAGGGGACGCACTAGCGCTGCGTGGAATGTGCAGAAGTTGATGAGGGCGTAAGACGCGAGGTAGAAATTGGAGATCAGGGGCGCAATGGTGTTCAGGTCAGCTGCACAAAGATAAGATTAATTTTTAGGGTAGCTCAAGGCGAGACTAGGTACGAACCCGTCGGCACCGGTAAATTGTTAATAGCAATTTTAAGTGCTGATTAATATGCTCGGTGATGAATGAAAACGTCGTGAGGAAACCGGAATTTATGAAAAATAAATATGTGAACACGTTCTGGAGCAGCGAGAATGGCTGAACGCTCAATAACCCTTCTCATAAATGAGGGGGAGGCCAGGGCTCAGCAGTGAGACGTAGAATGTAACTTTACTGTTTGTCCTGTCCCGCAAATTACTCCTGCCTTAAAACATTGGGATCAGAATATACTGCGTCCAGGACCTTACTGCTACTAGAATTGTATTTATCTAAAAGTTAATAATGATATGAAATTAAATGAAGTTTCTTCTTATCGAAAAAATGCAATTTTGTTTGTGAAAACTTTTCAAAATGAGGTTCATTTAATAGAGAAATACTATAATTTCATTAATAATTCATCGTTTATTACAGCCAATGGTCACGAGGGGACCATGAGTGTTGCAAAACACTCAAAACGTATAATTTTGCAATGTATGGGGAAGGCCTATACTCTGGACTTATAGACTGTAACCGATGAATGATCGAACTGAATGAAACATCGATCGACCTGAAGCAATTAAATATAGGCCATACAAATATTTATTCCGTGCGGGATACGAACCCGTGGCATGTAGCGCTGTAGCCAAACGCTTGAACACTATGCTACAGAGTTTTTAGCATACTGTTATGATTTTTGTTAATAAATGGCATCAAAATAATGAGGACCGTGTAATAGCAGTATAAGAATATCCACTACCATATCGTTCCGTAGTGTCGTAAGAGTCGACAGGTTTAAAATGAAAGAGGAGACGGCCAGCAGCATCTTCCTCATTCAAAATAGTAAAGAACTGCGGTTGCCAAGTAGCTTAACAAGTTTGTCAACTATGACAAATATCCCCCCTACGAAGTAATGTAGGGGGAGGTCTACGTTCAGCAGTAGACTTTAGAGGGTAAGGTGTGATGATGATAATGGTGATGGTGGTGGTGATTAATAAATGACACACTGGTTTGTCGTGTCATAATTTCATACCGATTAATAGGAAGATCAGTGATACGAAGAACGTGAGTACGTATCCACGATAGGGCTCGCCGTGGCGGCCGTAGGGCTTAGCGAAGAAGATGAGCCCCGGGTAAATCCGGTCGACGCCCAGGGCTTGGATCAGGCGCGGCACCGATAGCAAGTTCGTCAGAGCCGTTGAAAGTGTCGCGGCCCAACAGCCGCCGTATATCAACGGCCCCCAAGCAGACATGAGCTGCATAACCTAAATACAGAAAGGGAATTAGTAAACCATGAAATTAATGAATAAATCAATAACCTTTTATAGTACACCATAAAATAAACAAATACACAAAGTATACATTTTACTTATAAAGAAAACACCATAATATAAATGGGTACGTTTTCAGAACCACGCGGAATGAAATAACTAGAGCAAAAATAGGATGGCCGGGCGGGGAAAGACCACGTTCACATAGAATATAGCAGCATAATGCTGTTGTGTTTCGTATTTGAAACGAGGAAAAGCGTGATCCTTTTTCAAACGACTTCGAAAAAGGAGGAGGTTCTCAATCTTCTTTTATGTATGTTCACCGATTAGTGAAAAACGCCTGAACCGATTTAGAAAATTATTTTTCTTCCCAGGCAAGTTTTAAAAAATCAACAATAAAATATATTATTCATATTGAAGTCGTTTGTACAAAATTTTTAATTTACCACTTGACTGTGACTGGTGTCATAAAAGGCGACAGAGGGAAACAAAGCAATAAGTGTGCACTTGCTGCTTTGCGTCCAGCAGTGCCGTCCAGTTCCAGCACCTTTGTAATAACAAGATAATAAAAAACTGTGGTGTCATGCATGGCAACTATGGGTCATAAGGGGAACACACTTATGAGGCAATCTACTTCTCTCTGCAATCTACTATTTCGAATTAAATGAATGAAAAAATTTACTTGATATCATAGTTCGCTTCAGCGTGGCTCTCCCATGTAAAAAAATACCAAAATTTTCATATATTTCATACAACATTCAAACGAAAAATTATGAATACTCACCGAGTAACTGTTATGCAGACCGTATTTACATCCAGTTGTAGTATTGACGCATTCAAATACTGAAGTGTAGTCCACAACAGTGCCGTTCTCGATCACTAAATCAGTCATATTGCCGCTCGCGTCCCTCAATGCGGCACCACCAGAAAAAATCACCATCAGAGCGTAGCTCACCATGGATATCAGTAAAGACAAAAGTGTCCCTTTAGGAATTGCGGTGGCAGGGTCCTGTAAATAATCATGTACTATATCCATATCCCCAAATATAAGATAAGAGATATAAGAGCCGTGGTAGCTCAGATGGATAGCGCTCGCTGTAAGTTTCACAGTACGCGAGTAACCCGGGTTCGATCTCCGCTTGGCACCAATGAAATTGTTAATTGCAATTTTAAGTGCTGATTTACCACGTGCTCGGCGGTGAAGGAAAAACATCGTGAGCAAACCTGCATGTCTGAGAAATAAAAAAAAATATCTCGAAGACATGTGAAGTTCGCCAACACGGATAGGGGCAGCGCGGCGGACATTTCCTTTCCCTAAAACCCTCTCAGAAATGAGAGGAGGCCGGTGCCCAGCGGTGGGACGTATATAGGCTGCAACTTTACTTTACTTTTACTAAAATATACAGGTTTGCGTTTTAAAATCGCTGAACTGTGTATAACAAAAACTTGCAAGCAATTTTGAGAAAATGTTTACATACCCTGTTTTCGTGTAAGGAAAGTATATAAAAGTATATACAAATAAACAACAAATTTTTCCCCATTTAAAACACTTCCTTACGTCTATGGGAGCAAAAATCATAAAATTTCTGAAGGAATTGTTTTTGCAGCTGGTGGTCTCGCTGGCGATATGAGAACTTACCCAGGAGGAATGATAAATTTATAGCGCCCGAACCTGCCGCAACGGACCGATAGTGAAGTGTGCGCATCTAATACTATTTCGTCGCATTAATTTAAAGGGCGTGAGTAATGTTCTCCAAGTGCTTAGTTATCAGCACAGGACAGGATTACAGTGCACGGGTATGGGCGCAAACACAGGGGAACTCCCTATTCCCTCAGTCGTATAGTTTGATAGGACGGCCATGCAGAGGTCTAACGGCTTTACATGCTTTCCGAGGCACAGACGTGAAACACCGTCAACTTCCTAACTTCGGGCTGCTATTGAGAATTGTTTGACAGTAAAATCCAATAAGTGATTTTGGCTCGACCCGAGATTTGCACGCGAGACTGCGTGATCAGCAGTCACGCTTACCATCACCAGGCCCTTGAACAGTCGTCAGTATGTACGGGTCATATGAAAGTTGTTATTTTCAAAAGTAGAAAGTTATAGCTAAAGGAGACAATTTATTTTTGTATGGAGAATGGGCCCACCACAAACTGTGGCGTGACTGAATAAAATATAGTATATACCTATCGATTATTTTTATTATTTACTTATATTAGTTTTATTTATAATTTCATTTAATTAATATTAGTTTTACCGTATCTAACGGGAATACTGAGAAATAAACAATTAAAATATGAATATCATAATAACGTAAGAACAAACTAAAAGCGATTTTCTAGTAGTTTTCACCGGTATTACAAGTTAAAATAGTGCACTGGTTGATAATTAATAACACTTAACAAAGTTGTAGGTACATTCAACATTTATAGGTACTTTAAGATTGATGGAAAATCCTTTTAGTAGTTCGTTCTTCGATACACGCATTTTTTTTTCATACCTATTACATTAGCCAGTACAGGAATATCAAAACAAAACTTTCTTTTTTAGACTCCATGATTCCGTATAGGTTTTCATTAAATCTTTAGGCCGTTTACTATAATAAACTGGTATCTTTTTTATGTGTAATAAAATTAAGTCACGTTTAAATTGTCGACGTAACGATATTCTTCTTTAAAAAGGAAAATTTTCAATACTGAAACGTAGTACAAGTAAACATTCCTTTGTTTTGATTTAATAAAATAATAAAAAAAATAGCTACATAGAGAAAAGAATAAACAATACTGAAATGGAATGGTATAAAACAGCCCATTTGATTTATTAAATGAGGTTTTTGCTGGAAATTTTTCGCAGAGAAAATTGAAATCAAATACCGGAAAACTATTAACAAATTAATAAATCATTGCATGTGAAAGGCGCGTTACATTTAAAGCGTTTTAAAAAGTAATTTATGAGTACATATAAAAGCATAACGTTGGGAAATATTTTAAAAAGAGTAAATTATGTGAAGTAAATGTTAGTATTCAATAAGGTCACGTAATAAACAAACATATGATAGTATAAGTCGAAAAAGAGGACACTGAATCAAAGTTGCATAAAAATATTTATATGCTCGTATATCCGTAGCAAAATTCATGCAATAAAGAAGTAATTTCATCGAAATATTTTACTGTCTCCGTATCGAAAACGAAGTTGTTCAACACCTGATGTTTACCGGATGATGCAGCTTATATATTATTATCATCATTATCATCAATATCGTCATCATCACCATTATTATAGCCTTTCACAAGTCCAGTGCTAAACAATGGCCTTCTCCGAGCAATACCACAAAACAGTTATACCTCATAGCTTCTAACAAACAACACAGTTGCGTCATTGGTCACTGATGATGGTTGAGATGAATGTCTCATAATATTTAATTATACTGGCTCTTTTACTCTTCAAACTGGTGATCTTTACTGGTGATAGTACATACGCAGACCGACTCCAAGACAGAAAAAAGAAACTTAACGCCACCTAATAAAGGGTGACGAAACAAAATTTGCAAGTCTTTATTTCTGGTTCGGTTTCTCTACATTTAACGTGAATAAACAATACAATAAAGTTGAAAAACAATATAGCTACCAGCATTTAAGGCAATTACTACTAAATGGCAAAATGTACATTGACATACATTATAACAATAACCGTACGTAAAAATCCATTACTTATTAACAGCGTTATTCATTTTTATTCTCATTGAACTAATGACATTCTCAATTTAATGTTTGATGAATATTGACTGTGTCATGTCTCACAATTACTTATTTATACTACACAACTAGGACAATAGTCATATTTATACAGTCGACATCCTGAAACTTTAGCTTTTAAATTTTAAAATATCTATTTTACTAACGACCGCACAGAACAACATACTTAATGCCGCTTTTTATCACAAGCAATTTGTTGAAGGGATCGCGTAGCGTTATTAACTTTCGAAAAGTGCACATTGAATGAAAATATTTTGAATTAAACTTTGACGGAAAGTGAGGTCAACAACCAACGTACGACAACCACTTGTACCGCTGAGCACAAGTTTTCCCTCATTTTGAAAAAAAAACTTGTTTTAAGGTAGAGTTTATGACATGTGACTCACCTGATGGTAAGTGACTACCGCCGCCCATGAACAACCGTAACACCAAGGGAATTGCAGGTGCTTAATAGAATCAGGCGTTACCTTGCGGAAATCCACTATTATAACTTAGCGGTCAGCTACCGCAGAGTCTACTACACCTGAAGATACCTCGTATAGAGGCAAAACACGTGTCGTATTGTCGTCAGTGGTGTGTCTTTCCTAGTGTAGTGGTGTTGGGAGTAGTGGTGCTGGGATTAGTGGTGACGGGAAAAGTGCACGCAATTAAGGGAGGGTGGGAGGTGCTCTTCTAGGTAAGACACATCATTTTATTTTATGGAGCGGATGTAGCAAGGTAATTTTTACCAACTTTAATTGCAGGTGCGTTGCCGGCCTTTTAGAAAAAAGTAAGCTCTTTTCTTGTAGATCCCTAAGTGGTATCGGTCCGGAAAAATCGCCGGTGATAAACAATTCTACAGAGAAATTGTACGAGGAGGAAAACTCCTACTAAAACGCACAGTGGTGGACCGCCAAGCATCCAAACGGTGAATTTTAACGCGATGTGCGTTCGTGAAATTTGGCGGCTGGAATTAATCCGAACAAGTCCTCCGACCACTCTCCGTGGTAGATGCGACAGAAAATGCAAAGGGATCATCACATCCACACGCAGCGCCAGTGAGTCGAGCCGATCAGAAAGCACTCGGTCGTCGACGATTCGAACCGCTTTCCGCTGAATGCGGTCAAGTGGAAGGAGCTGGCACTGGGGAGCACCAACCCAGAGTTGAGAACAGTATTCCATGTGAGGCCGAACTTGCGCTTTGTATAGTTGCAAGCGATGTGCCGACATGAAATACTGTCCCGGTCTGCTGAGCACGCCAAGATTTATACAGGCCAATTTGCCCTTCCCTTTCAAGTGACCACAAAACTGCACACAATTATAGAGAGATATGTCGACGCCGAGGATTCCGGTGCTAGCTGAGGCAGCAAGGCGAGAGTGAGAGAAACTGAGGAGATACGAAAAAGGGGTTATTTTTAGCAGTAAACGCGCAAACTTGTGTCTTCTGGGGATTGAACTGGACTAGATTTAGTCGCCCCCAATCTGAGACTTTGTTCAACAAATTCTTCTTCAGCAAAGAATCGACTTCAGACAGAAGTTAGCTCTAGTTTTCCCGAGAAATATTGGCATGGCCGGTGTATAAAGCATCACCAGTGCTGTCGTCCGCATAACAATGAATGGTACCCGTTTGTAACATATCATTGCTGCATGATTGATCAGGTCGTCACTCCATCCAGTGGTGGTTACCATACACTGTGTTTGCTAGCCGAGAACCTATCTTCTTCACCAGTTATCGGTTCTTTGAGCTATATGCCACTTCAACCAACGCCGTTGCGCTATTGTTAGTTACTCTGACTTGTTCTTTTGCGGCTTCCAGATAAATGCAATAGGTAGTTCGGCAACGCCAAGATTGAAGTTTACATAAGGACGTAGTAACCAAGATAAAATATTACGAAGACGCCTTTCGATATAATTTACGAAAGAAATTTTGTTAATCAACATAATTGTTTTCGATCAAAATAGCCATTTATATAGTGTTTTGTTTTCAAACATTTCACGGAACAGATAAAGGAAGCTGCTCTTTCTATTTAATTGAAGATATAATTCACGTGAGAAAAGATATCAATAACGCCAGATGAAACAATATTTCCAGATATAAACGTGAGTCACAACTTCAAATTGGCTCTAATTGATTCAGGTCCCTACGACGAATTCACAATTGGAATTCGGAAATTACTAAAGTCAATGGAATTGACATTTCGATTCGTTTTGCGTCCACGAGAATTGGATGTTGTCAATCGCTCCACATTCTTTGAGTTTAAATTTGAGCGCACA